GGGATGATTCAGGGGGGCATTTGGACCTGAGGCCTTCACCAGGCTGTCTCGGTTCCCTCGGTTCCAGGGGCCTCGCGGCGGGAGCCTTCCTGTGGGAACGGTTTTGCTTGGAAGGAATTGAGAGGAGCCCTCAGATTGCACACATGCTCCAAACCAAGACAAGCCCCGGAGCCGCGTTAGAGCATTTTGCTCTAAAGAGCCAAAAAAGCCAAACCCGGCAGTGCTGGAGCAGAGCGTCCCGCTGGAGGAGCCCTGAGGGCTCCAGACCGTGGAGGTTGTTGCTGCATTGGGATATTTGCGTTTGTTTAATGAATTACATTTAAGAAATGGCATTTCCAGCGCCGTTGGGCCTGGTGAGTGGTGGCATCCTGCTGTGGCAGCTCCGGGCGAGCCTGTCGCGTGGCCGCATCCTGCCGCCGCGCTCGGTTTCTAAAATTAGTGACCCCCACCAGATACCAGGCGATTAGGTCTGCTAATAGGTGCTGGTGACTAAGGAGGTGTCACGCGTTAATCCCAGCATGAAATGCCTGGCCCTAATGGGCCGGATCCGGCACCGCACAACGTGTCGTGGGCTGTGCGACGCTCCGGCCATGCTCCTTGTGCAGCCCCATCCCAGGGTTTCCCTTTGCTCCAGCACTTTTGGGGCTGGGAGCCCACTTGGAGGCTGAGGGAAGCCCCAGTCCTGGCCCTGGTTGCGGTGAATCTTGTCTTGCTTTTAGGAGTTTTTCCCCCTGGTTCAGTGACCGCTCTGGAATTTGGGGTAGATTCAAAGTAAATCGCACTCTGTTTCTCTTGCGGTTAAAGATTAAAAGGATCATCGGGGCACGAAAGCGGGAGCGGGTGGTGGTGACGGCCAAGAGGCTCTGGAAAAGCGGGATCGCGGAGAGGCAGGGCCGGGAGCAGCCAACGCTGAGCGCTGTGGAGCAGATCCGTGTGCGAGGGTAGTTCATAGTGCCCTGGGAACCCAGGAGCACTCAGAGGTGGCTGCTGCTGGCGCTCCGGGCCGTGGCCTCTCCCGTTATTCTCTTTTTGCCAGGATCTGGGGGTGGCTCCACCAATCTCTTACCGCAACCTGTGCTGGAAGCATCCGCGCTTGGGGATCTGCTCACTAAACGAGTTGAACATCGAATGCTTTCATTATATACATGCAGAAACAGTGACAAAAAGTAACCGAGATACGCGAGGGGCGTGAGGAAGCGAACCGAGCCGGGATCCGGCATCGTGCCGCGTCCCCCCGCGCTCGGCCACGCTCACGCTGTCTCTCCCCGCAGACTGCGGCTACACGTGCCCCG